ATCAAAAAATTCATTGATCGATGTGTAATCAGAATTTTTGAAGTCTTCGTACGTAATCACATCATTCGATTTGCGGTCAATTTTATCATGGATGACTACTTCGAGTGCTTGATGGTGTGTTTCATTTTTTACTATTTTCATCATTTATAATATTTTCGGAGGAATTATGTAAAAACAGGCAACATTTCAAAATAATTTCTCAAAATTCTAAAATATCCGGAATTCTGAAGAAAATCATCAGAAAAAACCGGTATCCGGTGCCGAGCCGAAATATCCGGTATTTCGCAAAATACCGGACGTTTCCGGACGCGATGGGAGGTCTATCTATCACAATCTTTTTTGTAGTTTATCGCTCGAGCAATGCATTGGTAGTTTCCCTACCCTAAGCTGTTTCTAATGTATTCCGAGGGCCCACTCTAGAAAAATATTAAATCAACGATCATAAACGAAATATATCAAATTGAACCTCGAGTCTCAAATGAAAAATTTAAATACTTTAATCTCCATTTCGACGAAAATATATATCCCCCGACCAATCAGACCAATTTGTTATTTTGAGTCTCGTCATTATATTCAATCAAACGTTCAAAATTGAAACACAGGTATGCCAAAGTATCCAATAAATACTCCCGAATTACAACAAGGAAATACGCCACTACTTCTGGCATTTATGCGAGGTCAGGCTCCGTTATGTAAAGTTCTTGTGAAAAATGGAGCTTGCCTAGGAGCTGAAAACAAAGATGGTGTAACAATTTTCAACTACAAATTGGCAACTAATCAACTTTTGCTTAAGTTGTTAGACCAACTGCCTCAAGAGAGTCCATGGGCAACATCGGAACTGTGTCAGGAATGCGGAACGAAATTTACGATAACTATGAGAAAACATCATTGGTATATATATATATCATTATATAATTCATTAACTCATTATTAATCCATTATCGCTTTTTTTTAACAGCCGACATTGTGGACGCATTTTGTGTAGCAAGTGTTCTAATAACGATATTCCAATATTGAAATTCAATATCAATAAACCCGTTCGAGTTTGTTGCGTTTGTTTTGAAGTTCTTCAAATGGGCAGTGATTGATAATTTTGTGTATCAATTTTAATTGAAAAAGAGACTCTTTCGTATGAACAAAACCAGACAGTTGTATTTATGCGTACATGTACATGAAAACAAAATCAGAAAAAAACGAAAAAAAAATCAGTGCGAAAAATGTCTTTGAACGAAAAAAAAATTGTCGCTGACTGAGGCGACGGATAATTGAAGTTTCACTGTAATAGAACATAAACAACTGAGTTGCAGAACTCAAATCAACATTCATGCAATATCAAATACGTTATAATAAACATGATGTTAATAAAGATATAAAGTATAAAGTTTACTTGTTTATGATTCAATTGCACCCTTAAAATTGCAACAGCTTCTCAAAATGCATGGTCGAATTACCACAGTGCGAATCTTTGCATTTTAAGTTGAATTTATATATATAATTTATAGAATCGACACTGCGCCTTCTTTACAGTTCTCATATGAATGAGCCCAGAAGCGCCAACTGGTGCAAGAACATGTAATAGAACCG